AAGGGAGGACGCTAGTTTGCGTTACCCTTAGGGGAACAGCCCTAACCCCATAGTTCTCCTTTAACTATCTCCATTGGCCTCGCCCTCTATAGTTTCCAGATACAGGCAGTCCCCAGGTTATGAACAAGATAGGGAATGTAGATTTGTTCTTAAGTTGAATTTTGTATGTAAGCTGGAACAGGTGTAAATCCAGCCCAAAATCTTTTTTAGTTTTGGATAGCATAGGGAAGGGTTAACCCCCTGTAACGTTTGTTTTGCTGTATGTGCCCCTGTCCAGAAGATTTCACCTCACTTTCTGTCCCTGTTACAATTGGATTTTGAAAATTTTGGGTTGTCGTGGACACAAGGATTGGTGATAAAGCTTCAGTGGAGACAACTTTTTCACATGATAACTGTTATAGGAGTGAATTTCTCTTCCTAGGGATAGATTTTCTCTCACTTATTGTTGTCTTAAGGACAGGAAGTGCGATTACATCTTTCTAATGAGGATACAGACAGTAAAAACCTCGCAGTGACCCGTAAGAAGAGTTGGGCACCCCTCGTCTGCACGTCTTCCTGTAATGTAAGTAAAGTACTACAAACCAGACCCAAAAGGGCGGGCTCTCCTAGTCGGCAGGAGCGCGTTAGCATTACAACTACTGAAATGATGCATGGTACAATTTGGCTGCAGCCTGGGACCCCCTGCTGTACAGTAATAGCCTCCGTTTGTAAGTAGGGGTCGCATGTAAGTCGGATGTTTGTAACTCAGGGACTGCCTGCATTGTGATCTGCAGAGCAGGGCTCAAATCATTGCTAGTTTTAATGAAATGCTTCTATGTTCTTTTGAGCAGTATACCGGCATGGATAATGACAGTGAGTCATTTTGTTACCAGTCGCACATATAAAGTGCAAGAGGTTATTAAACGCTTCGCTGATAGTGGTATAACACATTCAGTGCAGCAAACATAGAAATGTCACACAAATTAATCATAACCAGTGGCGTAACACTCGCCATAGCGACCGCTATGGGGCCCAGGGGGCCCCTGCCAGGACATCTCCCTGATGCCGTACGGGCCGCCTGGGTCGCTATCGCCTCTCTGCTGGCTGTCACTGGCGGGTGTGAGGTGGAACATGTCACTGTTAGTGTCAGTGATCAGTGCAGCAGCGCGTTCCTCCTCACAGCCGCTGCTGGGTCAGTGACAGCCAGCAGCTGTGGAGGAAGAAGGCTTGGCCCAGCGTCAGAAGCAGAGGACGAAGCGAGCCCGGCGACGGAGGAGGTGGGGCCTGTCAGCAACCATGGAGGCGGACAGCGGATCGGGGCTGACAGGTAAGAGCTGTGCAGCCTACCTTAGACTCTGCAGAACCCACCATAGAGAGTCTATGGCAGGCTCTGCAGGGTTACTCTCAGGTGGGCTGTTTGAAATATAAGGTGGGCTCTACAAGGGCATAACTAGAAATCACAAGGCCCCATACAAAATGTTGCTATGGGGCCCTGTGATTTCTAGTTATGCCCCTGATCTATTCATATCGGTGCAGTGTCTTATGAAAAATTTAGCCTGCCTTCTATTGTGTCAACAAGCATTTAGGCGCTCCATAGAATTTAATAGTGGTGCAGTAAAAAGCACATGTATGCCTTAGAGTGGAACTGCAGTTATTTAAAAAAAAAAAATGAAGCCTTGCAGTGGAGCTACCCCCCACCCCACCTTCCCATCCCCTGCTGTAAGGGTTTATTGCTCGTTTTGCTCTAGGGGCCGGAATACAGAAGAATGTCTAATTAAAGTGAATGGACCTGCATTAGACGAGATGATGTCATCAGTCCTTAGACTGTTGGAGCCAGGGGAAGAAAAGGCTGATAGGACCGATCTAGCAGCCGGGCAGGACCAAGAATCAGGTGAGTGTATCTCCTTAATTCCGTTCCCTAGACCAAAATGAGCACTTAATCCTAGCAGTGCGAGGGAAGTCCTACCACAAGGGTTAATTTTTTTTAGATTCCTGCAGTTCTTTGATGCCAGTGAGCAAATATTTTCTATTTTTTAGGTAAGCAAGAATATGCAAAACAGAAGCAGGCAAAAGGCAGCAAAATGGAGATTGAAACATAGCAAAACGATGTAATGCATGAAAAAAAATGCATACCATGATGAATGTTAAAACAAAGACATAAAAAGGTATGCTTTTTCACAATGTAAAGTGTATATCCAGTCTGAGGCCACAGAATATATATTAAACCTGGGAAAAAATGGAGAGTTGAGAAAAGAGGAACCATTTGCTGGAATATGAAGCGTGGTTTGCTTCTACAGGCAACAGCTTCATTTTTATATTTATACAAAGGGTTTGGTCATAATTGCAGTTTCATTGTCTATAATATATTGCATTTTAGTATTTGGAGTTATATGGTGAAATACATAGGCAGTGTATTGAAACACTTATCGACATCAATATCTCTCCAATCACCCGCACGAAATCGAGGTCCATAAAAATCAAACTTTATTGTTGTAAATTCCATACAAAGCCCAAAATACAAGGTATACACCACCATAGTGTCTCTCCCACTCCAGCGCTTCTCACGGGTTTCACCACCTGCGCTTAATCATAGAGGTGATTATCGACATCAGTATAAAAGCAGTGAGAAAAGCTGGTTAGTCTTAAGGTGCCCCTACACTGCGCGATTATCGGACTAAACATCCTGCCCCGATTATCGCAAGGTTCTATCAGCGGTAGTTACAAAAAAACACCTGGACGACTTGCGGTAATTGACCGCAATTATTTTCGTTTGCGCAGTGTTAATCGTACGACTTTTGACGGACGGAAACGCCACCAACCATGCGAACATCGTACGATCGACCAAAGTTTTCAAACATGCTTGACCATCAAAAGTCGTACGATTGTACAGTACTATCGGTCGGGCACTCTATTCACACGTTACGATTGTCGTACGAAAAGTCGATCGCATACGATTATCGTACGATAATCGTAAGAAGTATGGGCACCTTTACGTACTTTGCTGAGAACAGCCTGTTTTTTTTTTTTCTTCAAGATCTCAATACCTTCAAGCTGAAATTTACACATGAAACTGGACAGGTATGCGCAGTGACTATCCTCTACCTGGCCTGCTAAGTAAGCTTTGTATGAGGTTTTAATAAGGGAGCGATAGTCTTAAAATAAACTGCTTCTTCTGCAATCTCTCTTTAGAAACCCCTAAGGCCCGGTGCAGACCTGAGCGCCCCGGGATCGCGCGGTCCTGCACAATTGCAGACAGCGATTGCTGTGGGGCCCCATTGATTTCAATGGGGTCACATCGGCGTGGCAATCTCAGAAAAAAGGTACGTGTACCTTTTTTTTTGCGATACACAACGCGCTGCTGTTTTAGCACAATCATCTGTGATGGGCGACTCCGTGACCACGCGGTATCGTGCACGATAAGGTTTTAATAAGGGAGTGTTAGTCTGATAATAAACTGCTTCTTCTGCAATCTCTGTTTAGAAACCCCCCTAAGGCCCGATGTACATGTACCCTAACGCCCAATGCAGACCTGAGCGTTCCGGGATCGCGCGGTCCTGCACAATTGCAGACAGCGATTGCCGTGGGGCCCCATTGAAATCATCCGCACGGCAATCTCAGAAAAAAGGTACATGTACCTTTTTTTTGCGATACACAACGCGCGGCTGCTTTAGCGCGATCATTTGTGATGGGCGACTCTGTGACTGCGCGGTATCGTGCACGTTTGCCACGCGGTGGCAAATCGCCTAGGTGTGCACCGGCCCTAAATCCTCCATGAATCCTGTGTCATAGACGCAGCAACAAAAAAAAAAGGTTTTATAGAAATAGTAAATCAAAATAGATTTTTAAAAATCTATTTATAAATATGCAAACTTTGAAGCACAAAATAAGATGGCCACAAAAGCATTCTAGATTTTCCGGATTTGCTGTACTGAAGGTGTCAATAAGGGGGACTTTAGATGTCCCCATGAAAACTTTAAAAATGCCTAGAAAAAAAGTTTTATTGCTAATAAAAATTTAGTTTTTTTTTGTATTCTTTACAATTAGTGAACAGCAGAGATCCAGCTACAGTAATAAACAGGGATCAGCCAAGCAACAAAAGTAGATAATAAGAAATGGTTTTTCATAAAACATATTTTTTAATAATTTTTTTGCATATTAGTACAGCTGATCTCCTTCAGCCTCTTTTAGTCACTTCCTGTCTATATGCATGCCCTGCAGCATCGACTGTACAACATTGTCCTGGACCAGCTCCCTGATGGTGACATAACAGGAAGTGCGTGAACAAGGATGTTCATGGCAGAATCACCAATGTAGTTTAATAAAGGTGTTATATTTAGGAAGATTAAAAATGACATTTGAAATCCATTGCCTTGTTACAGTTTGTATGAGATTTTAGTAAGGGCTTGTTCACACCAATTGCGGTGTGTTTCAGAGCGGTAGCTGCTGGAACGCACCTCAATTGCTCACATAACTTCCCCCTGCGTTCTGGGGCAGGAGGAGGCGTGGCACCGCAGCCACGCCCCCAGTGCGCTTAGACGTGTGGCAAAACATTGCCTGCATTCCGTCCGCAAAAAAATAGAGCAAGCCGCATTTTTTTTGTTTGCAGTGGGATGGAATGCAGGTAATGTTTTGCCACGTGTCCGATCGCACTGCGGGCGGGGGGAGTTGGGGGCATGGAAGCGGTGCCATTGACTTTATTGCACCGCCACGCCCGAGAACGGAGAGGGAAGTTTTGTGAACGATTGCGGTGCGTTCCAGCAGCTACCACTCTTGAGCGCAACGCAATTGGTGTGAACAAACCCTAATGGAGTCCAGCAACAGAATGTCTCTTGTTTGTAGAACACCAAAATATAGGTAGTAAGAGGTATATAGGAAGTAAAAAAAACAAAAAAAAATAACTTTGAGGAAACATTTTACTGTCTCTAAACTACAAAATTGTCGTCAGCATTTTAGAGCCACATATGTGTGTTCTTTTATATAAATAGATCTAAAAAGCAAATGAAAGTGGTGCTCAGCACTTGTCAGCGTTTGGATTTTCCGGACTCCGGACCTTAAAGGGAAAACAAACAATAATGATTTTCAATTGACTCCAGATATTGATAAAAAGCGATATCCAGTATGTGTTCATTGTTAAAACCCATTTCAAGTTATTTTTTATCTCTTGTTTTCTGGAAAGACTACTACTCAGTTATACAATATATGGATTTCCACTATAGAGAGTCTATGGTGGGCTCTGCAGGGTCACTCTCAGGTGGGCTGTTTGGCATATCAGGTGGGCTCTGCAAGTGGCATAACTAGCAATTACGGGGCCCCATACAAAATGTTGCTATGGGCCCTGTGATTTCTAGTTACGCCCCTGGATTATTCATATGTCTGTACTGATAGTTACTTTTTAAAATCTATTTTATGTTGAAATGATATAAATAATCTAGAAGATTCAAGTAACAGACTTTGTGGTCTATTTATAAATGTTTTAATACAAGATTTACACAACTTTCACACGGGATTCACACATTTGTCTAATTAGATTCAGCTGAAAAAATGCATGAAAACATTTATAAATAGACGCACTTTCTTTTTTTTTCTGTTCAGATCATTGTTGCATTTGGCCCCCAAAGCACTGGACTGTATCTAAACCCAAATACTAACACGTAATATATTGTAGCTTTTCAGTTCTTAAAAGTGCAGCTGCATTCATTTTCAGTTTTTTCATCATAAGAATAACACACTTTGTGTCCCCGAGTGGCTACACCCATGCATTCCACTGTATTTATAGAAGGAGCCATGGTTGTCATTAGGTTGCTCTCCTGATTTGAACTACTAACTCCTCCTCCACTCTTTATCTCCATTACATTTGGAAGGGTTCTTTTGTAGTTCACAGTAGGTAACTAGGAAAACTGATACAATATTTGATATCAGTTAAGTGTACACTAAGGTACAAGAACACTGGCAAAAAAAGTAATTATTCTGTACTAGCAGAAAATGTTCCTAGCCTGAAAAAAGAAACTAATGCAGCCCCCACATCTATGCAGTGGCGTCACAAGGGGGGGTGCGACCCGCACCCGGGTGCCACCATTGGAGGGGTGACACCAAAATGACTGACAGTTATTTTGGTGTCACCCCCTATGAAAAGTTGGGCACTCGGTCATGGACCGAAAGCCCGACAGGGTCAGGAGAGAGGAGGGAACCCGGCGGCCCTCCTCTCTCTGCCGGTGTCCATTATCAAGATGGCCGCCTACAGGTGCCACTAAGAAGACCGCGCTTGTGCGATGATGTAATCGCACACACGCGCATTCACGTCATGGTGGGTTGTGACACCTTCTCCACTCCGGGTATCACTCGGCCTCGGGACGCCCCTGCATCTAAGGACTGGGAAGCTGCAATTTATTACATTTTTGATTTTGGGTTTAGATAGCCTTTAAAAATCCTTCATGCTACAAAACAGTGACTGCAGTCTATCATAAGGACCCCTTATGAAATAAAAGCAAAATAAAACTCTTACGTGGTGTATTAAGTTTTGTGAAGACAGACTGCATGGTGCTTTCCAGTTGCTGCTTCTGGTCCACAAAGTCTTGTGTTGTTGGATTGTTGTCATTCTCCAGCCACTCATTTTTGGCTTTACAAGCATTCGCAGCTAAGCGCTGAAAGAAATAAACTAGATCTGTATTATTTGTTAGCTACAAAGGAAGATGCCAGTCGTGTCACTTCCCTCACTTCCTGTCCTGGTGGCAACTATCATCGGGACAGTACGTGAGAGGATATCTCACAGACACTATTAAAACTTGACAAGGTCAAAACTCTCTCACTCTTTCCAAAGAAGTTTCCACTTGGACCTTATCTCCCAACATTGACAGAATATTTTTACCATGAAAAATGCTTATACTCCAATTGTTACCACTCATATTCGGCGTGAGTGCCCCCCTATCAAACATTAATGGAGTACTATCTTATCTATCCACACCAGGGTAATAATGGGTACCGTGGTACCTAAGGGCTAGTTCACACCAGCCCCAGTGCGTTCCAGCACGGGCGGGAGGGGTTGTGGCGGTGCATTGAAGTCAATGGCATCGCAGCCACTCCCCCTGGCCTCAGTGCGATAGCCTGCACCAAAACAAGTGGCACATCAATGCCTGTGTTCCGGTTAGGTGCGATCAGAAAAAATAGTGCATGCAGCATTTTTTGGACTGGAATGCAGCGTGGAACGTCATTCCAGCGTCGGTTGACATATGAAGAAAATAGAATCGGGCAGAAATAAATATAGCTTGCTATCGGCTATTTAAAATTGAAATAGCCAATAGCAGGCTAGCTTATGCACCCGCCCACTGCCTGATGTCAGTCACAGGGGAGTAAACTTGAGAGAGAGAACATCCTCTCTCAGGTCCACTCATCTGCAGACTGACAGAAGAGAGTGGGCGGAGCAATAGCCAGCCTGCTATTGACTATTGCAATTTAAAATAGCCAATAGCAGAATGACTATTGATCCTGCAGAGGAGCAGACCTGTCCGCTTCTCTGTGACTGACATCAGGCAATGGGCGGGTGCATTAGCCAGCCTGCTATTGGCTGTTTCAATCTTAAATAGCCAATAGCAGGCTTTGTTTATTTCTGCCCACTTCAAACATAGCAAATTCTAAGGCGTTGTGTGTTTACTTACATTTCCTTTAACCCTTTAGTGAATGAGTAGGGGTACAAGTATCCCTTACTCATTCACAAGGGGGTGGCATCTGGCTGCCCCCTTTATGAAAGGGGGTACACAGATGAAGATGAGTCCCCCCGCAGACCCCCACAACCCTTGTCCGGTGGTTGTGGGGGTCTGCGGGCAGAGGGGGTCATCTTCATCTGCGTACGCCCTTTGGCATCGGGACAAGGTGTTTTTCCAGGGGATACCCCCTTTCCTGCCCTGCAGGTTGCCATCCAAATCCCAATGCCGAAATGAATTGATTTCAGACCTGAATCCCAAAAAATGAAATAACAAAACTTCCGAAATGAAACTAATCAGATTTTTTCCTGAAGTATGTCTACAAGTCAATGTGAATTCTAAAGCAACCTGCAGCGACTCAAAGCAGCTCAGAACAATTCAGAAGCAGCTTGAAGCAACTACGTGAGCAACTTCAAGGTAAATTAAAGCAACTCAATAGCAAATCAAAATAACTCAGATGCACCTGCCCCGACCAGGTTCAATAAGCAGTTTTGAAAGTTGTCTCACTGTAAATAACATGGACTGCTTCCGGAGTTCCTTTACCTGTAAGCACCATATGAGCACCTACACAGAGATACAGTGACACCATCCATAATGGATTCCCCAAAAGAGTATACAGTGTAAGACAATGCAAAGGCAGAGGACAGGACTACTACAGTGTAACAATGCCCTGGGTATCTCATGACAGGAAGTTAGAGGAGACATAAACAATCATAAAATGTCAGTGGAGGATCTAACCCTTTCCCACTCTACAGCTACAAAAAAAAGTACAAAATATGTATGGCTGTGTTCAGTGATCTGTTCTATATAAAACTGTAGAGCATATTTTGGCTCATATACCTTATCTTCTTTATGGAGTCGCCCTTTAACCTTTTCAGGGTCTGAGATGGTTTGCTGAATAAAACGTATGTAAGTCTTCAGTGCAAGTCTGGCTTCTGTAGAAATAAAACAAAATGTATTAATTACTTACATAAAGCTGAACTCCAGCCATCCCTTCAGCCTCGTGCAGTTGTGCAGGCTCATCTCCTGGACTGAAGTTGCTTACCTTGAGTTTACTGCACACTGTGAGCTTCTTACAATGTGCATCGGGAACTGCAGGAAGTCAGTGTGACGACATGGTGATGAGTTTATTAGTTAAATGTGTATTGGTGTTGGGTTGTGTTTAAGTGGATTATACTGAGTAAACTGTTTAGGAAAAGACCGTCAGCACCAGCCCTCATTATCTCCCATTGTACTCTGAAGGAGCTCAGAACAATGACATTCTGGCCAGGCTTCTGCTATGGCTGTCTGGAGCACTTTAGCAGGTGGACCCCTGTGGTGTTGTGAAGACAGGATGTCTGGGGAGAGCAGGGTGGATGTGATGGGATTATATTCTGATCTGATCACTTTCTGTATAAAAGTTTGTGCAGTTGCTTTAAAAAATCAGACTTTGTTTCACCTACACTCGAGTCTCGACTAGTGACTGGGGAAACTAGGAGCTAAAGATCAGCGGTTTGCAATATCTCCTGAGCAAGGAAGAATACAGTGGCGGACATACACTCGGATAGAGTACAACTTATTTCCTAGCAGGAGGACATCCATCATGGTATAGTTCTTTCCTCCCCAGCCTTACTGTCCCTGGCCCTCCCCTTTCATTCATTGAATTTCTGTTCTTTCTTAAACAATCTTATCTTAGGTTTACTAATTTGTATTGAGATTGTAGTCCATCACAGGAGTGAGCTTGGAGCGATGGCTACTTTACAGTATACAGGGATCATGGGGAACAAAAGTAGCCACCCTCCAGAAGGAAGGACAGCGTCAGCACCAATTCAGAGATGATTTGAGGATCTACAGCTGAGTGATACAGAAATAAGATACGTTTTTGTTAATAGTTAGGGAACATGAATCCATTTTTAAGATTTAACTCCTGAGTTTAGAGTCACTGTATAGAACATGCAAACCCTAAAAATGAACTTCTTCTATTTGGTCTGCCAAATATGCCATTAAAAGTGTCTTATGTTTGTTAAAAAGTATACAAATACTTGTTGATTCTGCCAGAAATCTTGAGTGCTGATAACTTCCTGTGCACTCTATCTCTGCTGCCCCATTATCCGTTAACATTGTTCCCAGTTCTTTGGACCAGAGACCACCTCCCTTCTATGTTATGGTGGAGAGGAGAGTGGGAGGTATTCCGTACTCCTGTCCTAGGGTGTCAATACTGCTCCTGCATACATACAGTATAGGGAGTGAGCGCTGTCACCCTAGGACAGAAAGTGTGTTACAGGCAGGATCACCAGTTAAACCTAAAGGGAGAAGAAGAATAGAAATAATATACCCACCACATCTAAGGACTGCAATATATTAATTTTTTGTTGTTTGGTTTAAAACGCTTTAATATGCAGATCTTCAATACCACAAAGATAAAAGGATGCTGTCAGTAAACTAAATGTTTTAGATCACATGTGTCAAACACAAGGCCCGTGGGCCGAATCCAGACCCCAGGGCATTTCATGGGGCCCTTTCACCTCTCCTGCAGTTTTATATTTTGAAACAGGAGCCAGCGCTGCAAACAGGTAATGGGCTTCACAGGAAGGCTGCCGAGGTCCCCAGCAAGGTCCCAGCAGCCTTTTTGTGCATCATGGTGCCTGTTTACAGTGCTGGCCGAAAATCTCCTCCACCTACAGATTCATGCCTGCACCCACTTAGACTGACTGGACTACTGGTGAGACCATGCAGCCCTCCTAAGCCCTTGCACAGCCCAGCATAGACCCCGCACGGCCACCTGAGTGTCCACACCACAGCCCACCAGAGAACCTGCACAGTCTACCATAGAACCTGCACAGCCCACCAGAGAGTCCGCACAGCCCAGCATGGACCCTGCACAGCCACCTGAGAGTCCGCACAGCCCACCATAGGACCTGTGAAGCCACCTGAGAGTCTGCATAGCCCACCAAAGACCCCACCTAGCCCACCTGAGAGTCTGCACAGCCCACCATAGAACCTGAACAGCCCACCATAGACCCAGCATAGCCCACCTGAGAGTCCACACAGCCCACCGTAGACACTGCATAGCCCACCTAAGAGTCCGCACAGACCACCATAAAACCTGCACAGCAGCCTGAGAGTCTGCACTATTACACCAATTGCCATTATTTTTCCTAGACTTCTACTTTCAGAGCTAGTTATTAAGTTATTACTAAAACCAGAAAAAATCGAATGCAGAGGCAATTTTTTAATATGATAACGAGTAGATACATTTATATAGTCTTACAGATACAAGTGAGCCTTTGAGGGCAACCATAATGCTGTTGCAGCCCGCAATGAAATTGAGTTTGACATCCCTGTTCTAGATATTGTAGGCCAACATGCCTTCTTTGGCTAAATATAAAACATGAGCTGACAGCACTTATTTCCTGATTGTTTCACGTACAGTATTGTGGCAGGAATGTGCAATTGTGTGTTTCAGCCCTCCCTTCCACTGTGCTATTTATTTCAGCTATCAGATTGAGCCTCAGACATTTCTTTGTTCAGCAAATACTGACGTAGACCATTGGAACAGAACCAGAACAAGTACAGGCAGCTTATAGCAATGACTATCCAGGCCAATGATACCAGGACAAGCAGCTTGTATAAGCCAAGAAATGTCTTCAGCATTATAGAACTAGTCCAATAAAATGTAACCAGCTAGTATGAGCTATACTATGACCTGGATACATGAGAACCTTCACAGCCTTACTTCCAATGGAGATGCCTATTTTGTGTCAACTATGTAAAGACTTGTTCACATGGGTGGCAAAGGGGGTGATAAAATTGTGGCATTGATCTGCGGTTTAACTGCCCCCCAGCCGCACACTGCCATGACAGCACTGTAGCCAAACATTGTAGTACACAGTGCAGCGGTACTTTGCAAAAAATATACAGCATGTCACGCATGACAGGTGGTGCAATTGTCCAGCATGACAGTTGCAGTGAATGGGACTGAGATGCAACCACGGCAATAAAAGAACAGAAAATCACCATTGGGATAAAAAAAAACTGCATTCAGGAGGTGGCAGTATCCCTTCCTGAACGCCAGGCAGCAGCTGCTCCACTGCCCTCTGTAAAGCAATCCACTGCGTATCACTTTTCAGAGGGCGGTGGACACTATAGCCCGCGTAAATAAAGCTTTAGAGGTATTTACCGCTCAATTCGGAGAGATTTTCTCTCACTTCCTACTGTGTCTCAGGGACAGAAAGGGTAGGGAAATCTCCCCAGAGGGACACAGGCATAAAAAAAGCCCCCAAAAATGGAATTTTGTTATTCTTTAAATTCCTCAAATTTTCTAAAAAGTATTGGTTTATATAAACTTTAACCTCTATAGCACCCCTTCATTAAACTTTAACCTCTATAGCACTCCTTCATTAAACTTTGACCTCTATAGCACCCCTTCATTATTAATAACAGCTACAGAATAAAAAATAATTTTGCAAAGAAGATGTCACATCTACTCTGTGAATATTCACTTAGCATGACCCTCACATACAATTATAACTGTTTCCACATCCTTCTGACGTCTAACACGCAGCCCAATTTTACCATGTCCTCTTTTTTAACCACACACCATATTGCACTAATTAAGTAAGAAATAGGCCAGAGCATGACCTCCATGTGATGAGTATTTTACAACAGGATCTTAGGTGGCTCAGTGCTCACAAAGGAAATAGTTGTACACTCATGGTGGATTATGCAAGCTCCTATGTAATATATATCAACATGTCCAAAAAGTGGCATTCCTTCATGATTCCATAGTATGGAATGGTTAGTGAGATACTGTATGTCTTACCAACATCATAAACATAAATACACACAGTGAAGTCCCAGTTAAAAAGCCACATTAAAAAAAAAGGATAATAAAAAAAGACCAATAAATAAATAAATAAAAAGCCATATCTCATTAAAGAACAACCTTATCTGATTCTTCTCTGTATGAAATGACAAATACCATCGGACAGTGAGTTTTCTTAAAGGGGAACTATAATGGTTTTGGTTCATTTTTTACATTTAATTATAACATTGTATATTTAAACAAATGTTTTTTTTGTTTCTTTTTACTGTTTACATAAAATCTTTCATTTACAAATAAACATTTATTACAGTGTGCACTGATGGCACCAATGTCCTCAGCATGTAGCGGTTTGGCTTCAGTCTCTCTCTCTCTCTGATTGAAACTTTGAACACAGCATGTAGGGAGGGAGGATAATTCACCTCTCTTTCATTTGCATGTGTAAATTAGAGCTTTAACTAATGAGCTCTGTAAACAGGCTTTTTAGTAACTCTGCAAACATGTGAAAACTGACCTAAAGCTATAGCTGCTGGGTTAAAAAAAGACATAAAAAAATGTATATGCAATATTTTATATTTACATAATCAAACATATTTTCTAAAAAAAATTCAGACTGCTTAAAGTTCAATAAAAAAAAATCAGAGTTTTTAAAATACAAAGAAAACCATATAAACTGCCTGAAAAGCAAACTTGTCAATGGTTTTAAACTTTTAGATGTAAATGTCTTGTATAATGCCTTGTTCCTACTTCCTCTTTGTCACCAAGGACACAACTTCCTGAACATCTGGACTAAGACTTGCATGCTTACCATCCCCTGGTCTAATGACTGTACCCTTATTGATCAGTGGTCAGGTGCTAAGCATCAAAGTGAAACCAGGATCACATATAGAAGGCTTATCTGGCTATCAGCAGGACAATAGCAGCCTCTTAGTGGTATGTACTCTTAGAGGGGACTTTCACATTTAAAGGATAACATTGTCTCACAGGTTTGCTTTAAAGGAGACCTGCCCTTAGAGAAATATGTAGGCTGCCATTACTTATTATCCTGCCTGTGTCTAGCATTAATGTTTTTGCAGTCTCTGACTTGGAACAAGAATTCAATCAGTTAGTACAAAAGGGAGTCTGCACACAGGACATGCAGACCGTTTGTCTAATGGTTTATTAAATGAATGAATTAAAAACATGAAGCACATTGTTGTCTTTCACTAATACAGCTTAAAGTGCACCTCTTCCCAGACTAAAGACATTAAACAATTTACATATTCTTAACCAGGAGTAAAAAAAATGCTTTAAAACAATTCATCACTGACCTTTCTAGGTGAAGTTATTTATTCTTAAAGATCCTCAAAGGCTACATTCATACTATATAATTTGGGATTCCTGTGTCAAGAATCCCAAATCTTCCATTTAGATGTTGCCGCAGTCACTAGTTTAAGTTAATTAATGTAAACGTATGTGATACGATTACATGCAGTGGGGAATAGATCACTGTTTTTAAATGCATCTATTGTGCACTGTATTTCTGATTTTATAAAACGATCTCCAAGTCTGGATGATATTTGTGCGGTCCCCCTCTTTTGGGTTGACAATTTTTACAGGGGCCAACTCAGAATCCAGTACCGGCACTGGAGTGGAGGTTGCGTCTCCTTGTCTATTCATCAGGCTAAGAGTAAAGGCAGAACTCTTGATCTGTATACTTGATCTGGGGCAGTGACTAAAAAAGTATTGAAGTCACTGTATCAGCATATCAGATAGGCAACTAGTATTTTCAGAAAGAACGATCGGCAATGGGAGCCCATGTATTTTTATCACAGTTTTACTATAAGTTTCAGTAAGAATTTCCATCACTCTGGAAAAATTGAAAAATGACATTACTAAATGAAAAGACATGGGTATTTCCAAGTAAGGCATGACTAGTTGCACAATTTCTGCATGCTTCACTACAGTTCCCATCTTTCTTGTAAATTACTGGCCTGATTGGTAAAAAAAAATGGGACTTGTTGCCAATGTTATTAATAGAAAGACAATCATAAGACCATTTTTTCCCCAGAAAAGAGAACAAGCTTTTACTCCACTGACACTGTGTATAATGTAATGACCAATATGCTGCTCATTGTATAGTATCACAACTGAACAGATGAGAGTAATTGTTATGTACACTAATAATATAGTAGAAATATAGAAAGTGTTAAAAAAAAAACACCTGCTTAAGGCCTCTTTCACACAGGTGACACCTGTTCTTGTTAGCATGGGATCTGTGCATAGGTCCGCCGATGATCAGAGCAATACAGAACAGATGTCACCCTTGTGACATCTATAGCTGTTCAGTTTCTAACTCCATCTTGTGATGGAGGAAAAAACTGAGCTGTATGGACCAATGTTAGATCCATGGGTAGTTGGATGTAAGCAGACACATCCCTCTACTGACATTGGACACTCCCCACAGCATTGATCTTGTGGGGGTTAAGACTAACAGCTGTGACTGTGAATCACTGGCACCACTCGCTCTTCCCTTCCTTCTCTTTCACCTATTCCTAAAGTACTAGTATTCTTTTCCACAAAGCAAAGCACTCTGTGAGTGGAGGAGGCAGATCCTGTCATTCACCCACCCCTCCTCCAATCACAGAGCGCTTAGCATTCTGGGAAAGAATACTACGAGTTGTGTGAATGAGTGAGAAAGGAGGAAGGGGAGGGCAAGCGGCACCGATGGTTCACATTCACGCTCATCTTAACCCCTGCAGCACCGGAAGATCACCACTGTGGGGAGCATCTGGCATCAGTTGAGGGACGATTTTTGCAGTGAGGAGCAGCCAGCAGGGCACAGGATACACTTCATTATATGTAAGTTATGTTTCTGGCATTTTATGTCATTGGCCCATTACACATGCCCTTAAAAATGTATAAGTATAGAAAGGGCACCACTTACCAGCCCACTGGAGAAAATGGACACAGTCTGTCTTGTCATATCTAGCAGCAATATCACATGCCTTTTCACCTCTGAAATTTAATAGCAAAATATCACCTCCCAATTCAACAAGAGTCTTTAATACTTCTAGATGACCCCATGCTGCAGCACAATGCAATGGAAGATAACCTGTAACAGAAGAAGATACAGGATTGTTTAATATAGCTCTGAAAGCATTCCACCGAAAACTAAATATGTTGCAGAGAAAAATTTGTAAATAAAACATTTTCTTGTAAAAAAGAAAGGTTGCTTTGTGTAAACTTAAAGCTGATCTCCAGACACAAAAAACTTTCATTTAAATACACTGTTCAATAGCCACAAAATATATAAATGCACTTTGTGTGCCCCAAATGCCTTTGCAAAACTAGGTAATACTAGTACTAGTTAATAAAAAAAGCAGCAGTGACATCATCACTGTGCCGTACGTAGCCTGTGCAGAGCTGTAAGAGGGGCTCAGCTGGTCCCAGCTCCTTCACGCTGCCTGCAGAAAACTACATGAGAGGGCGGATACAAGACCAGTCACCCTGCACAAGGAGAGAGTAGCGGTAGCTGGTCTTTATTACAGGAAGCTCCTGCACAGAGGCAAATCTTCATGTTGTATTACTGCCCAGATCTGGAAGAAATTCACAAAGCACACCAAGATTTAAATAAAAATACACAAGGTTCTTGTATTTAGACACTATTTGCTCATCGTGGACTTCAGGTTTAAGTTTCATATGTTGCTTACAAGGTAATGCACTGCTTCATAATTCAAAATGTAATGTGGCATTATTTCTTTAACAAAGTAAGATAATCTCTTTAATTCATAACTGTACTTGTTTCTGCAGCCCTGTTCACACGTTGATATGTCTGTATAAAAAGGACTGTACTACCTTGACCTTCCTTGTAAAGTCTGACTGTTATTTTGTATCTATGCATAGACACTGTTAGAGCAGATGAACGTTTTATATTCCTGGTACAAAGTATATCTTTTAGAACTTTGTTCCATATTCATGTATATAAAAGTTAATGTTATCACACATTTTATAGTTGATAATAACATAAAGAGCGATGGTTGTACAGTTAGAAGGCGACGTGATGCAACAAATAGGAATTACTGTTTGAAAATAAATATACACTTGCCACACTTATATGTGAAAAACTGCTCAGTCTGAAAATGCAGCCCAATGAACAAAGGGCGAGTAGACAGTCACTGCTCTCTGCAGGAGATGATCAGGAAGTGAGCGAGCGACGGTATGTTTTCGCTCACTTCCCATTCTATAGAGTCGACTTGTGACAGTTTAATTGTCACACGTTGGCTCTAACTATGAGGGGGAGTGTAAATCATTTACCTCATAGTTCTCCTTTAACTTCCACTTTAATCAAAAACAGTGAATGTATTTTTACAGGAAGTAAAAAATAAAAACAATGACCCTGCCCTTGCCTGGATACTGTTAACAGTAAACAGTAACTTTGTGTTGGAATACTGTTACAATACAGTTACTTTTCTCCAGTAACTGTAAGAATTATATAATAATTTCCAGAATAGACTGCAACTGACTCTTGTAAATGTGCTGAGTTAGCTTCCAGAATTCTAAAAACAGATTAGGAACTATTTAGCCGGTAGAGTTTGAACATTTGAAGCTAACTGATGCAACTGATTAAATCTAGTTTACGTATTAAACATTTGGAGTCAGTTAAGATGCTTTTGTTTGTCACTAAACAAGCTAAGAGAGTATTCTCCAAACTGAACGTCATGGCATTGAGCAGGGCCAGGACAAGGTCCTCTAGTATCTAAGGTAAAGATGCCAAGGTCCTCTGACCCTGAGCTGAGGCTCATTGGTGTTTGTAATGCACCTCCTCCCAAGGTTTAAAGTTAATCTAAACCCAAAAGCAAAAATTGTATATATTGTAGTTTACCAATCCTTAACGGAGAACTATGGGGTGTGAGATTTAGCTTTCAATGGTAGCACATTAAGGACACCGCCACTCGCTTTTCACTGTTTTAGGGCTTCTTTGCCCACTTTTATTTAAACATCCACATACGTTTTCCCTCGCAGGGGTTTCTCCAACACAAAGTATAATCTTCTTAAAAAAACATTTTTCCGTCTCACCGACTTCAGTAGGTCCTTTAACTAAGAACGTCTGGCCACACAGGCTGTATCCAAAACGCTAGCCACACCGGCTTGTCCTTTTTCCCCTTGCCACACAGGCAGATTGCCACACAGGCTGCTTGTGTGCCACACAGGCTGTCTGCTCCCCAGTCCACCAGACACACAGTCTGGTTCTAGGGTGGGGCCCCTTCCTTAGGATGCTGGGAGTTTTTGTAGAAGTCTTAACAAGCCAGCTAGCTTCAGCTGAGCTTGTTACCTCCAAGCCTCCAGCCCTTCCCCTAGAGGACACGCTTTAGTATAACACCTGAACCTGGCATATACATCTCTTGCATTCTGGCTAGACCCAGACATTTTTATCAGCCTGCTGCCACAGGGGTTAGGGCTTTTCCCCATAGTTCTCCTAAGGGTATACAGCTTGCGGTATACTGAGATGCCACAGCCGGAACGGATCCCGACAATTATGTCTGGATCCACCCAGCTGCGTGAGTGACAGCTGGCTCTGACTAAGTAGAGGCAGAGACAGCTGTACCCGCCCCCGTCCGCTCCGCCAGTTAGAGCTGGAGGATCGGACAGGGGAGGGGGGAATCCAGTCCCTCCCGTCACGGCTCTCTGCAGGGATAGATTGAGAAGTGAGCGAGCGCCGGTATGTGTTCGCTCACTTCCCGATCTACTGAGCCGACCTGTGACAGTTTCATTGTCACAGGTTGGCTCAGATTATGAGGCTGAGTGAAAATCACTCACCTCATAGTTCTCCTTTAATTGTGCTGGGTGCATTCGTTGTCTATTTTAGGCTTTTTTCCTTTATTTTCACCTGGTCCAGTAAGTCTTTTATTTTTCCTTTAACAAGCTGTCCACAAAAAGTGTATCCCTGTTATTTTAGAATCAAAGAAGTTTGCTGTATGCAGATGTTTGTGAGGAACTGAATACATTTTATCAGTCATTGCCAAAACTGAAATCAGGGCTCCCTCTAGTGACTAGTTATATTATCTCCGCTGAAGGCACTTAAAATGTAGTTCCACTTTTACTGTCAAATTTAAGAAAAGCCCCACTACTGTATATGCTTGTTTTGTGTTCCCATTCATACAGCATACTTAAAAAAACAATTTTAAAGAACATATTTCTTACCTTTCTAGATATTTCTTTGGTGAAGGTCTTTACGCAGATTTCAAACTACTCTGAGCAGTCTGTCTCTCAGTTTGAGTCCTTTCACTCTCAGATTGAGCTTCTACTCATTAACATACAGGGCCCAGCCCAGTCACACTATAGTGTTGACCTGCATTCTACTGCACAGGAAAAATGAAGGCCACCACTAGGGTACATAGAAAACAATTGTTTTCTATGTGCCCTGGTCACAAAACAGGTGATGGGTGGTGCATTTTTCAGCAGCACACTGGAGTGTATACATTGTACTCTACCGATAAAGTTAATTAAAAAAAGTAAACAGTGAGAGCTGCCACAATGCACTAGCCCAGCTGCTAAAACAGAGTGTTTTAGCAGACGGGCTAGTGTGAACTGGCCCAAAATGTTGAGTCCTCTAAGCATTTAACCCCTTCTTAGGACAGGCAGTGTGCAAATCTAGTTTACGCCTGATAATGAGATCTGCCGGCAAAGTACAGACAGGGTTAATTATAAGTAAAACGTTCCCTAGACCCCCCCTTAACATTACATGGGGGGGGCCTAAATTTACTTTTGTTGAGTGGAGGCGCATCTACAGGGAGCATGCCTCAGCCTAAATTCAAATACTATATTGGTCTCAGTATGGTGTGATTGGTGGATTGCTTTGTACCACAATGCACTGAAAAAATAAACTGCATGCACACCGCAGCAACACGGTGAACTATACCGATTATGAACAAGGCAAATTACCTCATCAAATATTGTAAAGTCAGATTGTAATGAGAATGGTGACCCTTAGGTGTATATATTTTCATATAAAGAAAAGCTGTACCTCGAGTCGTCTGATGATTAATATTTGCTCCATACTTAACTAACGCTCTTACAATGTCAGTATGACCAAGAATACAGGCTAAAAAAAGCGGGTTTCTCCCTAGCAGATCTTCCTCCAAGAGCAGTTTGCTGCCTTGCTCATGATGCACATCAGCTGTATCTTCGAATATCGACTGGAGGCCTTGTACGTTCCCTTCCAAAGTGTACAGAAGTACTGGATTCTCTGTAGAAGCGGGATTTAATGTATCCATCCCTGGCTCTTCAGTATCACCAGTGAATGTCACAAGCTCCTTTCACTAGTGGAAGAAATATCAGTTAATATCACACTAGTAAAACTATTTAGAAAACATATTTTGATAATGTTCCATTAAAGGCCAACAGAAGGTTCAGTGTAAATCAGCCAAATGCATTCCAGGTGCTTTAAAACAAACACTATGAAAAACTTTACAATAGAACACAGCACAGCCTGGTTAGAAAAAAACTGTCCCCCTGCCTGCATGCTATAGAGAAGCAGAGATCTCTGTATGGAAGTAGAGATCTCTGTATGGAAGCAGTAGTTTCTCTGCAAAGGTCAAACATTCCTCCTGCTGAGTCAGACCTATAGCTCCACAATCAACAAAGCTCATACTTCCTGCAAATTGGAGAGCTCTAGCACTGACACATCAGGGGGCATGTCTGCTGTCTGAATTCTTTCAAAGTCCTTCCTTCTTTAAAGGAGAACTATGGGGTTAAGGCTTTTCCCCATAGTTCTCCTTAGGGTAACGGGAGGACACAAACTAGCGTCCTCTCGTCACCCAAGGCTCAGTATAGCGCGAGCTGTAGCTCGCGGTATACTGAGACGCCGCAGCTGAAGCGGATCCCGACAATTGTCGGGATCCGACAATTGTCGGACGGGGGAGGGAGCGGGTACAGCTGGCTCTTCCTCTAGATAGGCAGAGCCAGCTGTCAATCACGCAGCTGGGTGGATCTCGACAGTAATGTCGATATCCGTCCCGGCTGCGGCGGTCTCAGTATACTGAGCTGAGCTTTGGGTCACGGGAGGACACTAGTTTGTGTCCTCTCGTGACCCTTAGGAGAACTATGGGGAAAAACACTTACCTCATAGTTCTCCTTTAAGCCCTGATGAAGAGGGGCCTTTTTGGCCTCCAAAAGAGTTGGCTGTATTGGTATTCTGGTTGTCATCAGGTGTTTAATTAAAGGAGACCTCCAGGAAATGTAAAAATAGACCCGTACAGTGGGGTTTATTAAAGTATTTATTGGTTTCTGTTGGACTATTGCTAGTTTATCTTTATTATGGGACAATAGTTCTCTGTTTTATGTTTCCTACCATTGCATATGTATGTGGACTATTTTTAATGATTGAAGGCTATTTCCACCTTTCGTACCATGTTCTATGGTGCCATTCCTCAGTCCCCCCACTCATTTGAATCGCAGGGTGCTTCTCCCTTCAGGCCCCTGTATACATTTGAATTTGGTGCGGCTGACCCTGGCTCTGCCTGCATAGTTACGTCATTCATTTACATTCATTCAAAAGATCTGCGAATTAAAGAAGTCCCATCTGCCACCGCAGGACTTATAGACCTCAATAAAGCACAAGCGTTGTGATGTCAGCACACTTGTAGTTTATAGATAACTGCCTCCAGCACTAAAACTGAGGGCCCTTTCACACTAGCCTGCCTGCTGAATTGGAGCATTTTAGTAGATGTGCATTGTGGCAGCTTGGGCAGTGTGCGTTATATAGCGTACTGCTGGAGCTGTCACTGTTTACATTTTTCTTTCTTTTTTTTAACTTTATCAGTAGTGTAAAAAGTCACAAGAAATCTTCAGCACTGATAGGGATCTGAGACTTAATTCGACCCACAGCTGATATAAAACTGAAGACTTCACCAGGGATTGCAGCTCTCCAAAAAGAGTACAGGACTAAGGATGGGCTCGGGCGTGTTCGCAGCTCCACGTGCCGAGCCCGACAGAAAGCTGACATGGCACAGCGCCATTTACAGCCACTGGGACATTACCAGATCTCTGCAACTGCGAACCGGGAAAATGTCTCAGTACCTGTGATTGGCGCTGCCAGCTTCCTGGCGGGCTCGGCACGTGGAGCTGCAAACACGCCGGAGCCCATCCTTATACAGGACCTCCTCCATAGAACATGTCAGCAACAAGAAAAAGCGCCTTTTCACCGTGAAATATTGTAAAATTAGTAATATTTATTGTGTAACAATCAATATACTCACATAGCACTTAATATGGCAGGTATCCATAACCTCAGTGGTGAACCCGATACCAAATGGTAACCATGAAGGACACCATAGAAGAATATCCACTTAGACACACACTGGCTGGTCAGATCAACAAAGTGCCAAGACTGAATGCGTTTCCATGGACACGTTCCCTTCTTTAGAGCGGTGCTATCAAGATGGCCACTGAGGTTATGGATACATGCCATTTTAAGTGTTATGTGAGTATATTGATCGTTATACAACAAATGTTTCTAATATTACAATATTTTAAGAGGGAAGGGCGTTTTTTCTTGTTTGAGTAGTATATAATGTGTACACTTCATTCAGGTCCCAGCACAGCAGGGCACTGCATGCTGCATTATTCCGCAACACAGCGCACAACCCATCTCGCGTTGTGGAGTGAACAGGTGGTCCGGTTTGGTAAAACGCAGGTCACCTGCCTGCTACAGGCTTGAGGCGGTGTTTGAAGAAGCCTGGGCATTTCACCTGTTATTGCGGCTGCAATGCTTTACAACAGAGGTCACTAAATGGCGGACGGCGGCAACAGGCATGGACTGAGTGGCGATTCTGTCCACATCACGATTACCGACCTACTGTGGTTTCTCTCCTCTGTCCTGACACCCAGGGCACATCTGTGCTGAAGGTGACAGGCTCCTAGTGGGTCACATCCGGATCTCCAAGTGGTAGCCACAAGCTGGTGGTTGCGTTGGTGAAGCTCTCTGGGGCCCGGGACATCGGCTAGCGACGTAAAGTTGGTGTAAATTTCCCACAGAGCTGAAAACATGTCTGCAATGGGTCACCCCAACGCCCAGCACAACAGTGAGATAGTGAGGGAGGCTGGGGCTGTGTGTATGGTTGTATGTGCAGCACTATACGAGGGACTTTTCTATGTTCTGACATCACTGTGCACTGCTGTCATCCTCCCGGAGACCAGCACTGCTGATCAGGGGCCATCCCTGCTCCGATAAAAGAGGCAGGCCCCTTCACACCGAGTCCGTGCGATTAATGCATGGTACAGCGCAACACACCCCTACACTTCCTGTGCTTCGTCGTCTGTATTGGGGGGCAGGAGAAACATCAAGGGTGTCATAGACCCCACATGTCTCCATAAAGTGACCCTATCACCTCCAAATGCTGTCACATAGGGGCTTGTTATCCCCTTTGTGATACCAAATGCTAAGTAAAACAAGAAAATAATAAAAAAAGGGGATAGAAAGTGAAAAAAAAAAAAAAGTGACAACGAAGTGATAAAAAAAGATAGATAAGTAAAGATAAGAAAATACATAAAAAAAGTAAAAATAATAAAATAAATACAAATAAAAAAAGAATTAAAACCAACCCTGCCGCCCCGCCATCTGATTTACATGAACATGTCCCGAGGCCGGGTGTCACCTGGAGCGGAGAAAGCCGTGACGTCATCGCGCATGCCCGTGACTTTGCCACACGCGCGGCCGATGACATCATCGCACATGCACGGCCATCTTGGCGATGGACGCAGGGACATTCACCCGGTGGGATGAGGTATGCCACCGGGTCCCCTCCTCTCTCCTGACACTGTCAGGCTCCCGGTCCATGACCGAGTACCCGACCTTTTAGAAGGGGGTGACACCAAAATGACTGTCAGTCACTTTGGTGTCACCTGGGTGCAGGCCGCACCCCCCTTGTGACCCCACTGACGTAGACAAGTGTATGTAAAAATGAGAAGGGGAGGAGATCTACCAAAAAGATTAATAAATAAACGGTGGAGTGCCCCGGTATTGGCGCATCAGCACTGTGCCTGGGAACACACAGAAGCAGCTGTGCATTGCAGTGCACCTGCTGGTGTGAATGCAGCTAGCAAATGGTGGACTGCGGTACGGGCACAGACATCCCGTGAACTTGAATTCACTACCCCTGGTTTACAGGCTTCAATGCAAACAATTGATGACTGCACATTTTCTTTTTACAATGTGGCTGCATTTATTAACTTTTACAAAAAGTGGACTGTGTCTTTAATAAGAATGAAATTAATTGTATTGGCAGGATAAGTTTCGGTTCACATTGGTATACAGTCCTCTAGTCCGTTTATATAAAACAAGCAGCCCGACTCCCCCCAAAGACACATACAACCGCCTGCTGTCAGTTTTCCCCCATCCAGCAAATCATCACCTTCTCACCTGCCCCGACATCCAGCGCAGTGGCTGGGGGCGGGGCCTGAGAGACGCGTTACCATGGAGGCCAGCTTTGCCGGAAGTATGCTCCAAGCCTCGATGTGGAACTGGCCGTACGACGTTCTCCCCGGTGACACTCCAGCAAGGGAGAGGAAGACTTAGGCGGCGGACTACTTCCGCCTGGCTTTCTAAGGAAGACAGAAGAATCCGGCAGAAAGCTTCTGTGCCCAGTTGTACGGGGAAAGACAGAGGAGGAAGCCATGAGGAGACCCCGGGGGTAGAGAGTGACATGAAGAGCGCAGTGTGGTGAGAAAGCTGTTCTTATTCCTGTGTGTGGGGATGTGTGAGACGCAGGAACTATGCAGGTAGCAAAGGACTATCAGTCTCTGGTATTCGTTTGTGGAACATTAATAGCTTCACTAAGGTTCTGTCAAGGGGAGGGGGAATCACTAATGAGAGCCCACAACTTTGTGGGATGGCAATGAGTGATGCCTTTTGGTCCCAATAGCCAACATACAACCCCATTCCATATTTCTGCCACTGCAGACCCTAAAGCTGAATGGATATTGTCTACATACAAGAGTGTATTCCTATTTGGATCTTGGTGTGCTCTGTGTATTTCTTCCAGATCTGTGTGAAACTTTCCTCTGTGCACGAGCTTCCTGTGATAAAGACTGGTCACTGCTGCTCTCTCTCTGTGTGCAGGGCAAGTGGTCATGTTTCCACCCCCTCCTGTAGTTTTCTGAAGGCAGCATGTAGTGGGCGGATCTACTAGGTCCCTCCCACAGCTCTGCTCTCTGTATAGACTATGTGCAGCACAGTGATGATGTCATATCTGGGATTGCAAAGGCATTTGGTGCACATAACGTGGCTATTGAGGATTATATTTCAATGAAAATGTTTAGGCCTAGAGCCCATCTTTAATGTGTATGTATGTACAGTCAAACCCCCCCCTTTTTTTTTGTTGTTGTTAAATTTAGGGCTAAACCCCCTGCTGTTTTTTTCCCCGCTGCCTGTGTCCCATTGGGGGAAATTTCTAATTCATATCGTGTCCCAGAAAGAGGCCATAAAAGTATTGCAAATGGCCTTAAACTGTTCAGAAGGCATAAAACCAAATATTTATAGTCCATATAGACTCAATATTTGTTTCAATGTCTTCTAAACAGTTTTTTGTGATAGTTTTAGAGTTCATTATGAACATTTGCAGAAAATCCCCGATAAGCATGGAGAATTATTGAGATTGTTTGTGGTTTGATACTTGCGGTGATGGATAGACTTAGCTGTGACTAAGGCTCAGTTGTGGGGCCGAAACGCGTCAGTAGTTTGTTATTGACTGTTTTTATGCCTTTTTGGCAATACATTGATATTATTGGATGTAAGACCTAGACAAAGCCTCATCTGACACTGAGGTTCCATTAGCTGGGGGTGGATGTGTGTGAGTTGAACCGCTCCATTTCTGTTATCTGCAGGGACGGATACTACCGGATGACATGACCATCTTCACCATTTGGAGTGCTGGCTGAACATCTTATTTCATAAGGGATGATAGAAATTTGGTGAGTCTGTTTGCCCTTGGGGGTGTGTGGAAGAAGCACTTTGACACTTTCAAGAGTGGATTGTTTTCACATTTTTAGGTTTCTTCAAGTGGGGAACGAAGGGGACACAGACCCCTGCAGCTGGTCCCCAGAGGTAATGAGAGCTCCACTGCCACTGCATCCGTTCTGCTCCTTCTGCTCTGCAGCTCTCTCCTCCTCACTGGGAGCCTGCTTTGGTCTTTGTCCCCTCTAAACCCCGCTGCTCTCCAGAGCAGGATCAGAGGGCGACACAGACCGCTGCAGCCGGTGCCCTGTGGGGAGAAGAGACTGGCTGTCAGGGTGCCAACGCCACTGTGACTCTTCAACCTCTCCCCCTGCCTTAAGTCCTGACAATGTTGACTATTTACAGAACTGCTCTACACCAACCTTTCTTAACCAATTTGGCGTGGTACTCTGGTGTGCCTCCTGGCCTCCTCCTGGGTGCCCTCAAAATTTTGGGTGAGTGAAAGGGGGAATGAAGACTGATGTGAATGGGGGCTACTGAAAGGGTGACCCTGATGTAAAGGGGGAAATCTTGATTTGAAGGGGGCACCACGATGTGAAGGGGGAAATCTTGATTTGAAGGGGGAAATCTTGATTTGTAGGGGGCACCACGATGTGAAGGGGAATCCAACTTTTTTGTGTATTTGCATGGGGTCCCCCTTAAAATCTATGACATTGTAGATTGGGGTGCCTTGAGATTTTGCATACTTAAAGGTCGCTGTGAGTAAAAAAAGGTTGAGAAACGCTGCTCTAGACAGTTACACCCCCTATTTTTCCATTTGTGAAAAATTCTTATCATGCTACTTAAAACTCTTCTTATAACATGTATTTTAAAGAAAACTTTTAAAACTTCAATTTGAAGCTTATCTCTGGGCAAACCTTTACCCCTCCCCTCTAACCCGTCCTGCTCATTTTGCACTCTAAGTCTGCCCCCCAGGTCCCTTGTTGGTGCAGTTTTCCGGGTGCAGGGAACTTCTAACCTGGAATCGCAGAGGTGCCCCCCATAGATCAGCCCGACAGTCTAATCTCTCTTACATTACTGCTGCTCTTTGAATCCTGGGAGGACCTCACAGCTAGCCATTCAATAGGAAATGTCCACATCGCACAGGCAGTGATGTCGACACCTGAAGAGGAACCCTACCGGATATGTCACTGGTTTCTAAGAGCTGGGCAGGACGTCGGCTAAAGCGTCCCAGGTTGCTAAGAGCTAGCAACCTGGGAAGCTCAGGCTGGAAAGGGGGCAGCATTGTGCAGCAGAGCGGCCATTCCACATGACCCAAAGAGATGCTGCATGAGGCTAAAGATTTCTGATCGATCAATCAATAGATCGATACTTTGTTACTACACCTAGAACTCTATTGGATAAGGCTGTGGGTTGTCCGCTTTCATTCTGTGTCTGTTTATCGTTCTATAAAAGTCTGGAGTTACAATGGCTGCCCTCGTAGTCACTTTTGGATTGTTGCCCTGTATTATGGTATAAGAGCTGGATTGTTGTTGGATATGTTGCGAAATACTGCTGTAGGGAAATGTGCAGATAATTGAAAACTGGTGTAAGAGGCCAGTATATGTATGTTACAAAGGCAAATCAATTCCGTATGCTTTTACTCTTAAGCTGGCAATACAGCAGAAGAATTTTGTTTGAAAAATTCATTTTTAGAATGTTTGCTTTTCTAATAGTTATTGGGGTCGAACCAACAATCACTTTCAACCACAGTGAGGAAAAAAAAAAAAAAAAAATCAAAGGTGCAGAAATGTTTCTTAAAGTTGTAACATTGAATGTCGTTTTTGAATTGAATGTTAAAACTAGGGATGCACCAATTTATCAGCCGAAAATGGCACTTTTGGCTAAATGCCAAAATAGGAGTGCATCTGTTCTTTCTCTTCTCCCCGCTGGGGGTTGCTCTGTGTCCCAGCGGGAGGAGGGGATCTGTCACTGACAGCCGAGCACTGCGGGAGGAGAGTGCTGTGAAAGGCCGGCGTCTCTCCTCCTCGCACCGCTCAGCCTCCTGTCACATATCGGGAGAGCGTCTATGTGGACTGAGACAGCCAGCGCTGTCACAGGAGGCCGGCCAGCTGTGCGGAGGAGGAGTCAGCTGTCAGATGGAGCTCTCTTCCCCACACCACTCGCTCAGCCTCCTGTGACAGCGTGTCAGGATGGAGAGCGGGTACCAGCGGTCAGTGATCGCTCAGTGTTTGTAAATAATGTATAACAAGGGCTGCAGAAAAAGATATTGAGGGGTCTGTGATCTCAATCTCTTTTTCTATTTTAAGGGAAATATCAGGGGTTTGTTTATCTCCACGATCCTGCAGGCTGTGATTGGCTAATGATGGGCCGTGGGCATGGCAGCTAAACGACAACAGAAGACATGGTCATACTGTGCATCTGCACTGCGTCTTTTACGTCTGAATGGTAAGCCCTGGCACACAAACTGACCACGCAAGCATGGATCTGCTTCTGCGCTTTGCATGGTCAGTTTAGAACAAGGAAGGAAGGAAGGGGGCTTGGCAAGATCAACTTGGTAATTAGAATGGGTGCAGTAAGTGAAACAGGTAAATACCTAGTTTTAAAGAAATGCATAATATGACTCCAACATAGACATAAAAATGAGGGTAACAAACATTTTAAGGAGCGCTGTATATTTTTCAGTTTTTTCTCTGGGTCTGCTCACAACTTGTATATTGTTCCTGACATTACACAGCAAATGTTTTTTTTGGAATTGTTTTCTCTGTCTTCTGCTTTTATGTGAATGATTGATCACCATCCTATTTGGTATATGTACACACTATTGCAGGAGTTCCTTTCACATTGTAGGTTAGTTGCCTGCACTGACCATACTCTTTCTGCAGTTCAGACCATTTCAACTAAAACAGGAACAGGTCCAGATGTGTTTATGATGTTGTTTGCTTTTGGTTTGCATTAGGTGTTTACACAATGTTATCTGTTTGCAGTCACTGTAGGCAAGTACGTCACACAGGCACCACATGGCTTGTACGATTGAGTATATAAGAGAAGACTTGAAGAAAGACAATTGTTTTTATTCAAAATATGTATTAAAACTTCTTTATTCTTTCTGTTAGATGCAGCAAGAAGGATTTTTGTCATCGCAGAGGATCTTAAACGAGACTCGACCAAGGTTTGCAGTTTCCAGTTCGAGCTCCACAAAAGTCCTGAGTGACTTCATGCATCTGTCTTATCAATTACTAAGGTTAAACTTGGTGTGAAGAATTCTCTTCACTGTGCATGGACAGAAAGCCAATGCGTAGGTATGTACTGCAACTAGAGCTGTGTGAATATATTTAACAAAATACATTTTCCACTTTAGAAGATAATACTTTTCATTTTAAATGCATTGGAAAAATAGCATCTCTATGCTTTTGGTTTGCTGGAACATCCACTTTTTGAGTATTTAAATGCTAAGCCACCTTGTATTTCTTATTCCTTACTTGGTTCACCCAGGTCAGATCCTTCTGATGAGAATTGCTTGCCAATTAGCACGAGGCTCGTCTTGTTTCCAATGAGGCTATTAAAGCAGACCTTTCATGCCAAACAGAAGGCCTGCTTCTTTGCAAGCCCCTTGCTACCCCAACACATATTGCTTTTTAAAGTAATTTGTAAACAAACCACTCACTAAGAAAAAATAATAAAAAACTTTCCTCAGGTGGCAGGTTCAGGATGCTTTCTGGAAGCACCAGTAAGGTCACTGAGCCGAGGGCTCAAAATCCACCGAGAATGCACACGTGCAATAGGCTGCAGTGCATTCCTGCTGGATTTCAAGCTATATATAGCCAGATTATTATGACCACCCCATCAGTACTTCATTGGGCCGCCTCGTGACTCCACGAGATGTTGAAAGGTGATGCGAGGAATCTGACACTGCACTGTTGCCCTTCTGTTGTCTTGTACCAGTCTTGCCACTCTCCGTTCTGCCCTAACATTGACTAGTCGCTGACGGCCACAATTCGCGCGTTCAGACCCAGATTTTCGGCTGACAGTCCAGTCTTTAAACACTTTAACAACAGCTGCTCTTGAACATTTAACGAATTCTGCTGTTTTGCCGATACACGCTCCATGGTTCAGCGCCAACAATCATCCCACGTTCAAAGGCTGTTGAATCGCGTTGATTACCATATCTTCCGGAAAAAAAATCACTTCTACTGTCGTGGTAAACAACCTGCTTCCATATTTATAATGGTCTGGCCCTCTAGCAACTTCAGTGCAAAATTATAGCTAATTTGCCTACAAACGTCAACTGGTCATAATCTGGCCACTTAGTGGGTATGTATGTGTATATATATATATATATTTTTTTTTTCTTCCTCACTTGTACAGTGGATTGTTTACAAATTGCTTTTTAAATCATATCTAAATCCAAAACAATAGAGGAAAGCCACCCTAAGACAGGAAGTGTGGTATTGGCTCGGTTACTAGATGAAAAAAAAGTTAAAAAAAATTAGGGGTTTAGATATACTAGGCCCTGGACACTGGGTTTAAAAGGAACCTGCCAAGATGCAAATATGGGAGTATCCATTGCTGACTTGTTTTTTTAAGCCTTGCTTCGGGCTTCTGTAAAATGTATTCAATCCCCCTCCCCCTGTCTGTACTATGTGGACTAAATGCTTGTTTTGTCTAGGGGATAATGAATAAGGTGATTACCCTATTCCTTGCACCCACAGACTTTGTCCATGCTCTTTGACCGATCTCATAGAGCCTCCTTTCTTCATCGCTCAATGGGTTGCAAGCTCTCCAATATCTCTTACAATGCAGGACCCTGAGTCCTGGATTGTATGGGAGGATGGTGAGGGACCCCCCACATTCCAGGAGCGTAGAAGAGTCAATGGAAGACGGGTCACCAGTACTCCATAATGAAGAAATCAATGTAAATTATTTACATTGTGTCACATAGGCCCGAATAGCTAACAGTTTAGGACCATGCAGTATCCCTTCCTCAAGGCACAGAGGAGAAGAATGCTGGTGTCTGGGGGAGAGAGAAATAAGGTAAGTATTTGTACTACTTTCCAATACCTCTAGACAAAACAAGTATTTAACCCAGGGCTGGACACATCCCAGGAGCCACGTCGCCAATGCTCCATAAAAATTACAACGGGTGCCTTACTTTTGAGCTTTCTCTAGTTGTTGTCAATGGAGCTGGTGCCTAAAAGAAATCCTGCAGGCTCCTGAACTGGACAAACTGCTCCTGTATTCCATTTTAATTTGCCTGTCCCTGATTTAACCCATGTAGTTCATGGGGTGGTGGGGAGAGGGCACTGCATGGGTAAATTCTGCTGCAGCCAAAGTGAGGCTTTTGTCTGTCCTATTCCATTCCCTCTTGTCAGTGCTCTCTAGTAACCGCTAGATAGCAGCTGTGAAAACTCTGCACAACAATATACTTTACCTTAAAAAAACTGCACTCTGCATTTATATTCAGTCTGGCTGGATAGAATGACATTATTATTCCCTATTGGTTGTAAGTGTTTTTATTTATAGGCTGTGGTCACAAGCATGTGCATGTAAAATATGTGGAGTCCTGATATGTACAGTATATGCTTGTGCCAGGTCTGTGAGGCGTTGGATATTGAAACAGAAAATGATGGCATCTTTAGTGTATGCACCTACAACAAGTCCGCAGTAACCGACGCCAAGACTTCCATTTTGACAGGATCCTTTTAGAGCTGAAATCCTGGCACATTAAAGTATATCTATAGCTATATTTGTAGCTTTAAATAGAGTACCAATGGTAAAAATCCCTGTCTTTTTTTCATTGCTGTTTATTTCCTCAAGGGGTTCTTTTTCCTCTCACTTCCTGTCATAGAGACGCAACAGAAAGGGAGAGGAAGTATCTCCAAGGTCAAGCTAAATTCCCTCCTAGACTTTTATTCTCTTATATTGAAGAAATCTGCATGCATATATTCACGAGAATAATAACAATTTTACTGATTCTCCTGATTTTCAAAGCACTTCTCTCCATCATTACTGTTTGCATTTCAGTGTTGTCTTACACACTCTCCATATTACATATTTGCCTTAGAACTGGCTGTTTAGAAAGACTGTTTGCTCTGTCAGTCATCCTCGGTCTACACTGGAGATTTGTATTTAACCCCAAAATGTTTTACACTTGATTAACAAACTCTATAAATATAATATGATTTGCAAAATGGCGACACTGCAAATGGTGAGTAATGAAAATGTCCTGTTGAGTAACAGTATTGTTACACTGACCACAATAAAATATGATAAAAGTAGTGAAAATGACCATATTTGTTATAAATAATAGGGGCAAAAGAACGATATGAAAAACAAACATGATCTATGTACTGTATATTGGAAGCATTGTGGAAAATGTAGCAGCATAGGAATCTTATAACACGGGATATGGTTTTTTGATTATATTTGATAAGAGATGAAAGTTAATTTTTTTACAATCATTCTTACTAAGGCCCCTTTCAGACAGGCAGTCCAATTAGGCTTGCCTGTCAGTTTGTCAAGTGGATCTGATCGAAAGCCCACTGTTATCCTATGGGTGGCTGGATCTAAAGGGATGTACCTCCGTTTACGTCTGATTACCCCAGATTCTGTCCAGGACCAGAAAACAAAACTGAACAAAACAGAGTCCTGTTTTGGCGGACCTGATCATGGCTGATTGGGGTAATCTGATGTAAACCGGCACATGTCCACTTACATCCGACTCTCCATAGACCTAACGTGGGTCTGGTAAGTTCAGTTTTTTCCCCCCATCATGGTGGCATATGTTCCGTACTGCTCCCATCAGCAGGGGATTCATGCACGGATTCCCTGCTGATCAGAACTGACAGGCGTCTGTGTGAAAGGGGCCTTGGGGAGAACATGTATCAGGACCTTGATGAATTGACCTTTATTATGATGTTTACCTTCCACATTCATTTAAAAGCATTAAAGGAGAACTATGAGGTGAGTGATTTCCACTCACCTAATAGTTCTAGCCGACCTGTGACAATGAGACAGTAGATCGGGAGGTGAGCGAACACAAACCGGGTTCGCTCACCTCTCGATCCTGTCACGGCTCTCTGC